AACAAGTATTTCCATAAAATTCTTGGATACCGTGCATATCAGAAATATTTTTAAAAACAATTTGTCACTGTACAAGTACAATTACATGTACTTTTTTAATCTAATATGAGGTTTGCCACTGCTTTGTTATTTTTTGTACCATGTGTTACTGGATATAGTCATTTGTACTCTTAACCAAGGTTTATTAGGGTGATCAAATGAGGAGGATGAGACAGACAGGACATGGGGCATGTTTAGGGATGCGAAAAGTACACAAGTTAGGAAATGAAAACCTCATACAATATTATAATTTCAAAATGTAAAAGGAAGAGACTTAATCAAGAGATCCAAGGATAGATGAGAATGTAAAAGTAAAGTTTCTCTTAAAGAAGTAAGATGTGAGGATGTTGACTCAATTAACCCAGCTAAGGATAGGGTTCATTGTTGGGCATTTATAAGTGTGGTTATGAACCTTCAAGTTTTATAGAGGATAGAGTATATTATTGAACTGGTTGAGCTAATGTCAGCTTTTTATTTTGAGGGAAGATTCTGCTCCTTGAAACTAGTAGTACAGGAGAGGATGAACTCAGATAGCTGAGTTGATAAAGTGACTAGTTACAGTCTGAAAGGCTGGAGTTTGATACTGATTTTACTTTTCACCAGCACTCTCAGATAAGATCTGGGACCTGTCCAGCCTCCTATCCATTGGCTTTTGAAGGATTATTCCTCAAGGTGTAGTTGTTGGAGCATGAAGCTGACCACTCCCATGTATCTAGTGATGGGGTATAAAATGCTTGGAATGTTGTCTCCATGCCCTGTGTGAGGCCCATATAGCTATAGCAGCTGATGTGCCTGTAAACCCAATTTACTTTGTCACTGTCTGTGAGGGTGAGCTGGGATAGCTCAGTCAGTGTAGTGACTAGCTACGGGCTGGATGACTGAGATTCAATCCCCGGCGGGGGCAGAGGATTTTTCCTCTAGCTTCTGTGTTCAGACCAGTTCTGGGGCCCACCCAGCCTCCTATCCAGTGGGTACTGGGGTCCTTTCCTGGGGGTAAAGTGTGGCCGGGACATGATGCTGACCACTCACCCCCCACCTAAGGCCGAGGTGAAGACTGAGTAGGAGCTATACCTCCACTCCCCCCAAATGACCTACATGACATGTAGTAGGACTACTTTACTTTCTACTTTGCTGTACTGTCTGTGAGGTATCATGGTATGGCACCAGTGTGAAGGGACTACTTTATGTTACTATTGTTGAAGGGGAAATTGGTATTGATAGATTCATAAATCATTGTTTTAATCCAAATTTTAACAAATCTTCTCAGGGTTTTACAATTTGTGAGCCAAGATCAACTGCCTACGTGTAATATTTTCTGGATCATACAAATCTCTGTGGTGTTTGACCTACCAAATTGATACAACTTGTCAATTTATGTCCTCATATTTGTGAAAGCATTATATCAGTTGCTCTTCGTGTATGACATGCTGTATTTTCTGGTGTATAAGACTTTTTTATTTTTTATTTTCTTGAAAATGGCCCTAAGAATTGCAGTGTGTCTTACATGCTGTGAAATTGGTAATTTATTTTGTTTGTTGATCTTGTAGCTTTACTATATTTCAGCAAAGTAGTTTTGGGCTGGATAAATATTGCTCTTCTATTTTGATCTTTCTCCTTGGAATGACCTGCATAAAGACTATATCCATAATAAATTTTGTGATATTGCTTCATTAATTAATGCAGATCTTAAACAACTACAGATGACAACAACTTGAAAATGTTACAATGTATTTAAGCCTCATTAGCATGCTCTCATATGACAATCTGCTGCCACGATGTCTTTCAGAATTTAAGGTTTATTTCTGAAGAAAGCATATATTGGTTAAAACTATAATATGTCATGTTCAAAATGATATGTCAATAATGCTTCATTTCCTGCCATTAGAATTCATTTGTTGTTTTGATGAAATGTGAACATGGTTGATGAAGAGGGAGACTTTGTCTCTGTGTAACTGCAGGGTGCTAACAGGCCCTTTGTTATGCCTACAAATGATACGTGAGTGAATATGGAGCAGTGGTGAAATTATGTTGATGGGAGAACTGAAGAAATTGTAGAAGAACCTGTCCCAGTGCTGCTTTGTCCACCACAAATCCCATATGGACTGCCCTGGCTGTGAACCCAGGCCTCATCAACAAGCCTGTGCTATGGTATAGCCCATTGATGCGCAACCGGTGTTCCGCGGCACACCAGTGTGCTGCAGAGACCATCTAGGTGTGCCACAAAATTTTCACCTCATTTTATGATTATAACTATAACGAGATAAATAATTGTTAATCTTGTTTTCTGCTGTGTCTCAGTTTTAATTTTGTTTATTATGATTGGGTTGATTAAGGATGGACAAGATATACTAAATGGAATTTGAAAACAACACAACCACTTTTCAGCAAAACATGTTTACCTCCCCTTTACTTTTATTGCCACACTATGTATTTTTCTGAAATCTACATGTAAAAATATAAATTAAATTTCAATGTTTACACATAGTTAATAAATTTTGGATCAAATGGTAGGAAATATTATAGTTTAATTTATTTCAAATAATGAATATATTTAAAATAAGTGACAATAATAAAGTTGGATAATTATAAAAATGAAATGGGTTGGTGGTAGTGGTGTTGCTGTTGTCATTTTTGTTGTTGTTAGTGATGGTGTTTTAACATGTTCAATATCTTTGTCAGTCTATGTCAAATATTTTATTTTAAAAGAACATGATAAATTAAGGTGTATCTCCATGGAAGAAATGCCCTCTTCAGAAAGTGATGGCGCTTAACTGGTCAACAAATTCCTACCTTCTAAACCCCCAAAGATTTATTACCGTATAAGAGCCTGCCAGTGGACTCTATCCTGAGTGAGTTAAATCTTATCTACACCCTCACATCCTGTTTCAAATCAATTTTAATATTATCTTTCCGTATATGCTTAATTTTTTAAGTGGTTGTTTCCCCCTATAGTTTCTAACTGAAGCTTCATATGAATTCTATTATGGGTAGAAGTCAATTATTGCAGGTGAACAGTGATTTGTAAAAGAACTTTAATATTATTTTGTGTGTTATTTATATTTTCATCTATAACGTTTTTCAGCCGAATTGGCGGCTGAAGCGTGCACCAATCACATGTACTGTGCCATGGTAGGAAGTAGTGGTGGGAGGTGGATGGGCGAGAAAGTGAGGAAACAACATACAATGGTGCCAGATGTAGCATCGTGGAACATTGGTTTCCAGTGAATGGTTACAACACTACGCAAAGAAGATGTGAGAACTGGCAAGAACACAGTGCAGCAGCCGATGCTTCCATCACACGGTTTCTGAACAAACTGAGGTCTAGCTGTTTACCAACAGACCTTCTTTGCGCTGATTGGTCACTCACAAAGAGCAGAACTTGACTCAGCCGCCAATTCCGCTGAAAAATACTTTATAATAAGTTGTGAGCATGTACAATATAAAGGCTGAAATAGGTCTCTTTTGCCTAACCTTTTGACCAAAGGAAGAAGTAGCATTATAGTAATGTAATACTTGATTTAGGTCTCTCAACTCCAACACTTTGTGATTCTCTTGGACGTCATTTATGGAATATTCTGAGAAAAATTAAAAAGCCTTCCATTTTTAGCACCTTGTGCACTGAAAATGCTGCTTGTAGGTGTTCACTGACACAAACATTACTTTGTCATCATATACATAATTTAGATTTATTTTACTCTGAAAGGTCAATGAATATATATGCTATCCCATGCTGGTGGATCACACCTTTGATGGTAGCTCATAAAAATAAAGTTGTCCCGCTATATGCCATGTAGGCACTTGAGGGGATAGGAGGTATAGCTCCTATTCATTCTTAACCTCAGCACGAGATGGGGTGAGTGGTCAGTGTCATGCCCGGCCAAGCCTTACCCCTTGAAATGGACCTGGTACCCATTGGATAGGAGGCTGGATGGTTGCCAGAGTTGGTTTGGATGGAGAGGCTAGAATAAAAATCCTGTGTCCCTGTTGGAGACTGAACCCTAGTCATCTAGTCCATAGCCAGTCATTATATAAACTGAACTAACCTGGATCATAATGGTAATGATTTAGGATGTTTATAGCTACACTCTGGAGGAACATTTAAAATTCTGCAGTCCATGGATGCACAAAGCTTTGGTGCGAAATGACCCACTTAACATTTTTAAGAACCATTTAATCACATAATTATGTTGCATAGATGACAGTGATGAAAATAAT